GGGTCAGTTTCCTCATTTCTAACACAGCTTAACAGTTTTGGGAACTATCAGAAGGAGGTGACACTTGCACAAAGCACACTGTGAACTGTAAACTGCTGCCTGCCTGTAGAGTATTCAGGGGGTGGCAGACAGGTGTGCATCTGGGTGTCTTCAAATGTATTGCCAACTCCTTGGTCTTCTTTTTTTTTTTTTGAGTTGGATCTCACTCTGTCGCCCAGGCTGGAGGGCAGTGGCACTCTCATGGCCACTGTAGCCTCGACCTGCTGGGCTCAGGCAATCCTTCTGCCTCAGTCTTCCAAGTAGCTGGAACCACAGGTGTGTGCCACTATGCCCGGTTAATTTTTTGATTTATTGTAAAGACAAGGCCTCACCAAGTTGCCCAGGCTCATCTCGAACCCTTGGGCTCAGGCAATCCTCTTGCCTCCACCTCCCAAAATGTTCAGATTACGGGCTACCACGCCTGGCCTCAAAGCAGAAAATCTTAATATGACTCTTTCCCCTCAAAATAAATGCATACATTTTAAAAATCTGGGGTCCTATATAAGAATTTAAAATCTATTTTTTTTATACATCAGTTCAAAGACTCCCAAATCCAAAGGGAAAATGAGAATAAAATAAAAATATAATCCCACTTCATTTGTAAAAGCAAACAAACACAACAGCAAACACCCCCGGGGTGGGGGTTGTACTCACCCCACAGCCCAGGCCATTGCCACCTTCGCAGGTGACCTTCCGCTGGCCTTCCTCGGGTACCAGCCCTGCTCCACAGCCAGGGTGGGGGCACAGCACACCTCCCATCTGCAGCACGCACTCCTCAGCCCCATACTGCTGGTAGCGGTTGTACTGCAAAATCCAGAAAGCAGCATGAGCTTTTCAAAGCGATTGCGTCTATATTAAGGTTCATGGTGGACAGTGTTGGGACTTTTCTTGCTTAACCAGTTTCAGTAAAAATTGTGCATGGGGAGGGTAGAGGAGGGAGGACAAGGTCTGATCCAATGCAGAACAAGTCTTCAAATTCAAACTGGCAAAATGGACTAGTGAGGTGC